CTATCTGGCATATCTTCTGGCATATGTTCTGGCATATCTTCTGGCATATCTTCTGGCATTCTATCTGGCATATCTTCTGGCATTCTATCTGGAATATCTTCTGGCATATCTTCTGGCATTCTATCTTGCAAATCTTCTGGCATTCTATCTGGCATATCTTCTGGCATTCTATCTGACATTTCTTCTGCACATTCTTTGTCCCATATTTTCCTACATGAGGTCCGGCAGGGAACACTTGGCGTGGATACTCGCGGTTGAGGTCCGGCAGGGAACACTGGGCGGGGATGGTCGTGGTTGAGGTCCGGCAGGGAACACTGGGCGGGGATGGTCGCGGTTGAGGTCCGGCAGGGAACACTGGGCGTGGATGGTCGTGGTTGAGGTCCGGCAGGGAACACTGGGCGTGGATGGTCGTGGTTGAGGTCCGGCAGGGAACACTGGGCGTGGGTGGTCGTGGTTGAGGTCCGGCAGAGAACACTGTGGATCGCGGGTCGCAGTTGAGCCAGGACGACGAGGACGACGAGGACGACAAGGACGACAAGGATGACAAGGAGGACGAGGAGGAGGAGGAGGAGAGGAGGACGAGGCAGGAGGAGGCGGAAGAGGAGGAGAAGGAGGAGAAGGAGGAGGAGGAGGAGGCAACTGACATAAAATCTAACAACCCTCACCTGGCAGGTGGGGAACAAACCTTCCATTTGGAGGTACATGGACATAGTTAAACACAAATATGGAACCTGCCACAGAAGTCATTGAGGAACAGTTTCAATGGATCGGTAGAATCTATGACTCCAATGAGCACAATACTGATGGAAATATGGAAACGAAACCTATAAATCTGCATAATTTCAATTGAGTCCAACCAAACTCTCCACTCCGCACCCTATCTGGCCAAGAGTTTTGGAGCGCACTGCGTCACCAATGGCCAGTCAAATCACTCCAATCACGGAGTCCCAAAATCGCCGTGAAACTCATCGTAGTTTCATGCTGCCAAGAACTGTTTTTTCTAGATCTGGATGAGGGAAACAGTGTACAACGTACATGCATAAATGTTTATAAACAATCACAATCTAACTCCAAGCGACTGAACAAAAATAAATTCCAGGAAATTTTGTCCTGATCCGATTCTAGGCGGATGCAGACAACCCATCAGTTTTCCTTTTCAATCACTGCCTCCATGGCCTGGCCGTGACAGGCCGTGAAGACCACTGCTATCTAACTGAAGTGGCCACCAAAAAACGCGCCAGACCTCATATCCTGAACAACCCAGAGGCTGAGGCACCTATGTTTTGACACCAAAGAACCCATGGATGGATGGATGGATGGATGGATGGATGGATGGATGGATGGATGGGGGGATGGATGGATGGATGGATGGATGGATGGGTGGGTGGGTGGGCGGATGGATAGGTAGGTAGACAAGCAAATGATTTGTTGAGTTCTTGCAATGCGCCAACTGAAGACACCTCAAAACCCGCCCGCCGCCTCACCGCTTGTGCCTTTGGGAACGCGAAATTCCTGGTGTTGGGATGACCATCGCAGTTGGGTGAAGTGCAACAGTGCAATCTACGAAACATGTGGTCAAAAATAAGTAAATAAATATATATATATATAATTATATAAATAAACAAAATAAGTATACTGAAAAAGCGGAGTCTTGTATGTCAGACCTAAAATCATCTAAAATCAATATGGAATCGCATACTCCGAACCGTTAAAGTCGACCAATTTAACAGAATTGTGTCAAATCTCATTGGGACGCCGTTGGATCAGGAAGTCAAATAAGTTGACCAAAAGCAAGGTCAACCCCAATGGGACGCCGATGTACGACAAACTCTGTTTTGGCAAGTTTTGCTGTGTGAAAGATGAGGAAACACCTTGTGGACGCAACTCCCAAAACATCTTCAAAGTGGTATTAAATACAACAAAAAATACTAATGTCATATTGGGACGCCAGTGATTCACCACATGTAGATTGCAAGTGATCACAAGAAAAGCTGTTTTCATGCGATCATGTTCCTTTCATTCTCCTTTCATTGTCCTTTCATGCGATCATGAACACATGGTATAGACACAACCTAAATACGAAGTCACACAAAGTCGCTGGCAATGCAAAACCCACGAAAAAGTCAAAAACTGAAAAAAAAAAAAACTAACTTGCTAGACACAAGCTGGACGCAACATTGGTCAACTTTAGAAGTTGCGTGCGCGCAGCTGGGACGCTCATTTCATTGAAATCGTTCAACTTTAACAACTCAGAGTACTGTGTGCCATGGTTGCAAACATGGAGGGATCAAAACATTACTCGTGTGCACTTTGTGAAATCTTAAATGCACAATCTGACATTGAGCTACTCCAGTAAGTCGGGACTTCGAGTACCAAGTGCTAGCTGGATGTGAGTATTGCCTCAACCCGGCATGCCTAGACCTCAAATATGTTGAGGATCATGTGCCTTGCAACGTGGGGTGACGAAGATTTCATCGGGCGCATAGCAAGATGTGCCCGCAAGGTACATCCAAAGGGTACGCGACACCAAGCGTTGCCTAATCACAGGGATCAAAGGAATGGCTGAATTAATCCCCGACTCTGAGAGCCCCAGCGGCGAGAAACAATGCGTGCGCGTCCTTGATCAAGGCTGGCTGACCGAAGTGGATAAGTTTTGATGTGAAATATGGGACTGCACCCGCAAGCTATGTCGGCAACTGATACGTGAAGTTCTTTTCTGCGCTTGCTGTGGCGCTTCCAAAACTGTGGTTGCAAAAGGGCCAGATGCACTTCAAGCGCTCCGTCCCTAAATATTTAGCAAAAGCTTACGCCCCGCAAATCATTCAGCAGCGGAAACGAGGAAGAATTAATGCAAACGCTCGAAGAACTCCAAGGGTTGTCATTCAGCCAGAGTCTGAGGAGTTGATCAAGGCCTTGGAATGTCCCCGCAGGAAGTGTCGTCAACTTGTTGTCGCCCAAATAGAGTTCCTGCAGTTGACCAAGGCCTTGGAATGTGCCCGTGGGAATTGTGGTCAACTTGTTCCAGGACAGATGGAGTTTCCGCAGCTGACCAAGGCCTTGGAATGTCTCCGTAGGAATTGTGGTCAACTTGTTCCAGGACAGATGGAGTTTCTGCAGTTGACCAAGGCATTGGAATGTCCCCGCAGGAATTGTGGTCAACCCGTTGCTGCCCAAATTAAGTTCCTGGAGTTGATCAAGGCCTTGGAATGTCTCTGCAGGAATTGTGGTCAACTGGTTGCGGTACAAATAGAGTTCCTGCAGTTGACCAAGGCCTTGGAATGTCCCCGCAGGAATTGTGGTCAACTCGTTGCTGCCCAGATCGAGTGTCTGGAGTTTACCAAGGTCTTGGAATGTCCCTGCAGGAATTGTTGTCAACTTGTTGTACTTCAGATCGAGCTTGTGGAGTTGATCAAGGCCTTGGAATGTCCCCGCAGGAATTGTGGTCAAAACGTTGGAGCTCAGATCGAGTTCCTGCAGTTGACCAAGGCCTTGGAATGTCCCCACAGGAATTGTGGTCAACCCGTTGCCGCCCAAATTGAGTTCCTGGAGTTGATCAAGCCCTTGAAATGTCCCTGCAGGAATTGTGGTCAACTTGCTGTACTTCAGATCAAGTTTCTGGAGTTGACCAAGACCTTCGAATGTCCCCGCAGGAATTCTGGTCAACTGGTTGCGGTCCAAATAGAGTTTCTGGAGTTTACCAAGGCCTTGGAATGTCCCCGCAGGAATTGTGGTCAACTTGTTCTTATACAAATTGAGTTCCCGGAGTTGACCAAGACCTTGGAATGTCCCCGCAGGAATTGTCGTCAATCTGTTGGCGCCCAAATAGAGTTCCTGCAGTTGACCAAGGCCTTGGAATGTGCCCGTGGGAATTGTGGTCAACTCGTTCCAGGACAGATGGAGTTTCTGCAGTTGACCAAGGCATTGGAATGTCTCTGCAGGAATTGTCGTCAACTCGTTGAAGCTCAGACCGAGCCCCCGAAGCCGACCAAGACCTTGGAATGTCTCTGCAGGAATTGTGGTCAACTTGTTGCTGTCCAAATAGAGTCCCTGCAGTTGACCAAGGCCTTGGAATCTCCCCACAGGAATTGTGGTCAACTGGTTGGACTCCAGGTTGAGTTCCTGCAGTTGACCAAGGTCTTGGAATGTCCCCACAGGAATTGTGGTCAACCCGTTGCCGCCCAAATTGAGTTCCTGGAGTTGACCAAGGCCTTGGAATGTGCCCGTGGGAATTGTGGTCAACTTGTTCCAGGACAGATGGAGTTTCCGCAGCTGACCAAGGCCTTGGAATGTCTCCGTAGGAATTGTGGTCAACTTGTTCCAGGACAGATGGAGTTTCTGCAGTCGACCAAGACCTTGGAATGTCCCCAGAGGAATTGCGGTCAACCCGTTGCCGCCCAAATTGAGTTCCTGGAGTTGACCAAGACCTTGGAATGTCCCTGTAAGAATTGTGGTAAACTCGTTGCCGCCCAGATCGAGTTTCTGCAGTTGACCAAGGCCTTGGAATGTCGCTGCAGGAATTGTCGTCAACTTGTTGCCGTACAGATCGAGTTCCTGCAGTTGGCCAAGTCCTTGGGATGTCCCTGCAGGAATTCTGGTCAACTGGTTGTGGGCCAAATAGAGTTTCTGGAGTTTACCAAGGCCTTGGAATGTCCCCGCAGGAATTGTGGTCAACTTGTTCTTGCTCAAGCTCAGCCATCGGAGCTTCTTTAGTCCTGCGAATGTAGCTGGGTCAATCTTCTGGAGCTCGTTTTCGCTGAGGTCGATCACCTGCAGCTGTTCGTTGCGTCCGAAGATGGTTCCAAGCTCCTGGATGCCATTGCCCTGCACGATGACGTTGAACTCCTCGTCGAGCTTGCCGCCCAAGAGAAGCTGCTCCAACAGCGGCAAATGTTGCAGCATCGCAGCCGAGAGCTCGGTGAGCTGGTTGTCGCCTTGGTCGACGCCAATCTGTGACACAGATTGAATGTCAAACTGTTGTGTCAAAGAAAAGAAAAGTGTTTGTTCAAACTGTTCAGCTGCTGAGAGGTGCTGACAGGTGTCTCATTGCCAATAGTTTCAGCTGCTCCAAGCCCCGAAAGGAATCTTCGTGAAGTGTTGCCAGCTCAACTCGTGTCAAGTCCAACTGCTCCAAAGATGATAGACCTGAAACATCAATGTATGGCTGTTACAAACATCACACATTGTGTCATTGCATGGCTGCCCGAAGCCTTTGCAGAAATGTTCTTTGACCAACGCCGCTCAAAACTTCCTGCCTTCGAAGAGGCCCGGAGGCAGATGGATCAAGCTGTTGTTCGCCAATGACAGGCGCTGCACATGTCCAAGTGAGCTGAAAGCCTTTGGGTCCACGGCAGTGATGTTGTTCGCAGCGAGGTTCACCTAAAGTCAGCGCATATCCGTAAGCGTCCAAAAGCAGATGGGTTTGTCCGAAAAGATTGTGCCTCAATATTTGATGGTTTATCATGATTGTCACCATTGAATGACCATTTTGGGGGTCTACCGTGGGGTCTCGCGGTCTACCCCATTTTCAGACACACCCAGAAAAACAAACCGCCGGTGATCCGCCCAGCCTGCTTCTGTCTGAGGACGGCTGCAAGGGTGCAGCTGTCAATCTGTTGGCCAGCTGAGTCAGCATTGCCATAGCAACGGCACGGAAAACACCTAGGAGACACTTGTAATCCCATTCTACAATCTCTTGTTAGATCTTTTCATGAAGACCTCCAATGACAAAAAGATAAGCAGATCCCTGAGAGCTCAACGTGAAATCCTGTCCATGGGTCATTGGAAAAACGTCCTGCAAAGGCGCTTGAACAAGTGTCGTCAAATCAAAATCACAGCTCGAGGTCACTCACGCAAATCTTATGCAGCAGTCCTGCGTCACAAGGAGAATCACCAGCATCGAAAGGAGCCCAATGGAAAGGGAGCACCCAAATAGTGTTGGAAGAACTCTCCGTTTTTGGCGCTCGCCCCTGACATGCTGTTTGCTGTTGTCAGTTCACAACGAAAGTGACATCTTTGCATGGCAAAATCTGGCATGGCAAGCTGTTTAGTCTTAGTGTCGAGGCCTGGGTCGCACCGGCAAGCTCCAATTGGTGTGCTGCAAAATGTGTGCAATGCAGCATGCGTGTGCTAAGTTGAAAAACACGGCGCCATAGCCCAGAAAGTCAGTGGGAAAGGCGAACACAGGGCTAATACGATTGCCTCAGATATCAAAAAAGTTGCGGTGAAGATCCCACTCGGATGGCGCCGCTATGCCATGCGAAACAAGGCGCTTGAGATGCTTGAGACACTTGAGGCACTTCACTTGATGCCGGTTGACGCTTTGACTTCATTGAGCTTAGTTTCTGAACTGCAACGTCAAGTCCTCGCCAAAATTTCCCCAGCCTTCGGAGGCTGTCTGCAATCGCAGCATGGCCACCAAAACCTTGCAGCAATTACACTTTTGCGTTTCCCGACTGAACGCCATCTGCCAAGCCATCAATGAAACGACGTTGAAACCCGTGAGACTTGTCAAACCAAATGAATTGAAACCTAGATGCCATACCCAGGTAGGTCAAGATGTAGCCAAGGTCCAGAGCAGCATCCATAAATGCTGCTCCAATTCGAGCCCAGGCAGTGTCAGGGAACATCAGAAGAAAGGCGGGATAGAGACTGTTCCAACACAGCAGGGCAAAGAAAGCCCAGAAGCCGACACTAAGCCAAAGAATGGCAGTCGCATCTTGTTCTTCTTGGGCGAAGGTAACGAGGCCGCCCAACAAGGAGATCTTTCCCAAGGCCTGCACCGCAACGGTGAAGCATTGGAAGATCGCCACCTTGAAGGGGTAGTAAGCTCCGCGCAACCCAAAATACTTTTCCTCAGGAAGAACACCAAGATACAGCATGGAAAGGGGACCTTGAATCAAGTGAATTCTTGGATCCTGCGGAAAGCGTCAGTAATTTTCAAAAATTGGGACCCCCTTTCATATCTTTCATCCATTGTTGTATCACAATTTCCCGGTTTCAATTTAGAATGGTGACTGGAAGTAAACATTCCGAAAATTGACCCCATATCATCCATATCACAATTTTCCGGCTTAAACTGGCGAATGCAGGGCTGCACCTCCTATTTTTTAAATCTCCTTCGCAGATCACACAACAACTGCATCTGCCTAGAAACATAAAGCACCTCCGTGGGTCGCGGCCTCTTCCGACTCGTCTTTCGGCACAAGAGCTGCAACAGAAACACCACGACCAGGACCAAGTAGGGCAGGGCCAGAAATGCGGCCTCCATCCGGGCTTCTTCATTCTGTAGTTTCAAGAGAAACACCACTGGAACTTGGGTGAGCTTGAAATGGTTTGCCATCAAATGACACAAATGAGTTCCGTAGCACAACAAGTATTTTTGAAAATGTCAAGAATGTGACAGAATTCCCACACCTCCAAGAACGTCTCATTGGACTCCTCGGTGTCCAGCAGCAAGGCATCCAGAAGGAAGTCGGACAGACGAGAACGGATCCTGCAACGCATCTTGTCAGGCTGCGGCCTACGATGGAATTTGGGTACCCTAAGGTAATACAAAAAGAATCAAAAAGATGTGGAAAAACTAATAGTGGCATGTTCATGGGTTTTCCACATCTGGTAACCATACAGCAAAACCCGTTGATAACTAGAAAACATGTTGCTGGGAGGTTGGTTTAAGTTTAGTTGGTTTGTTTCCTCAACCTCTAGTAGTCCAGTCTCCTACGCATAGCGGCATGGCGATTTTCATCCAGTTTCATGGCCACAAGGCACCAGGGTGGGAAAAGACCGAACAGTCTCCTGGGAGCGTAACGGAGGAAATATTGGACGGCCATGAAAAAGGACACGACCAACGCCACAATCTGCAAGAAAATGGTCCCTGCCATGGTCAAAGGCCCGACACTGGATGCATCGTTGCAAAGCCTGGCAAGGCAGCATGGCACTGGATGAAACGATACACTGTCGACTTCGGACACACATATCATGGTCAAAAGCCGTTTCAGTTGATTTTCCTTTGGTTCCTTTGGTTTCGGATTTCTCGCCTCAGTGAAGTCTCCCATTTGGACTTGACGTCATCCAACAGCCCAAAATTGTCCGCCAACTTGGTCAAATCGCTCAGCTGATTCTCGAGCCTGCTCCAAACATGGAATGGAAACTTCAAACTCAACAACATCAACAACCAAAACACTCAAGACTTCTCAGAAGTAGTGGTTGTTTTCGAGCAGGCACGTCATAGCTTCCCAGAAACTATCTTTTTGAAGAGGCAAGTCGCTCAGTTCCATAAATCATTATCAAAGAACGTAAATCGGCTAGTCTTCAAGAGTGGGGACCCCGCAATCCATGGGGGGCATCATCATTTTTCCCTCCCAAACTGGTGATTGTGGGGTCCCCAAATTCGAGAAACCTTTTTTTTCCTGTCATCTATGGTGTGGCCTGGTCACAGTGACATCCATGAGAAACACAGAGGAATAATAATCTTCCACCTGCAGAACTACCTGACCAGCGGAAGCTTCGCAGATGCAAATTCCATTGCCAAGTTCAAAAATTAGATGATTCTCAAAACACCAACCGCGTTTTATGCTTCGATTCAGTGTGCGGGTATGGAAAGACCATGGTCATGATGATAATGATCACTTCGCAATTTTGGGCAGGGGAACTCCATCTAAGTCAGACATCTTGCGGGTCACTTTATGTCACTCAAGGCGGGGCCTGACAGCATTTTTGGCCGCTGGCAGCCCCGCTCATCTCGGCAAAGGTGTCCCGGACAGCAGCGATCCGCACGCCCAAAGCGACCATTTCTTCGCTCGCAAGGCGGTCCTATCCAGTCGGATAGCCAGGTTGCGCACTTTGGGCAGGCTACATGAGATGATTGATTTACATGTAGGCTGTAGGCTACATTAGAAACCATCCCTGTCGATGCACCTTGAGGCCCCTGAATGCTTCCTGAACGGATTGCATGTTTTCGCACATCAATTCGAATCGAAGCGCGTCCAGAACTTGTTGCGGGCCTTGCTGCTCGAAGCTGGACGAAATTGAAAATGTGCAGGAACATCACGAAACCATGATCATGTCTTGGGATTCTAGGGGGTTGAACTGTTTTGGACTAATTCGAGAAAGCAAATATGGATGAATACGGGGAGGTCCCTGCAAATCATAAATCATAAATTCATCTAGTTGGATCATAGTGGATCATCCGTAAAACAAACTTCACTGGGACAGTCCCCAAGAAAACATCTGCTTGCAACAATATGCATGATATTGCATGATATGCATTCTGCATCTCTCAACTTGTACAATGTTTGCACCTGTACCTTCTTGAAGGGCGCCAAATGTTTGAAAGGATTGTTGCCAAAAGAAGTTGAAAACAAGTGAGTTCTTCCCAACGAAAAAAATCACTTGGGTCTGTATTTACTTGGGTCTGTACAATCAATTCAAGCACACGACGTTATAATTTGGATAGCCTGTACATGACCGGGGCACGAAGAGAAGAAATGATTAGATACTGGCACAAGCACGAGAAGCTGCTAACATGGTCGAGTGGCTTCGTTTCTCTTCGTCGCTTAAATTGGTCAACAGTTTCAGCTTCAATGTAGCATCCGGCAGCGCCACATTCATGGCTCTCCTGAGGCAAAACCATGAGGAAGTTTGCGACGTGGAGAAGCTCTCAGCAAAAACAAACGCCCCACGGATACACGAGACAAGGCACCGCAATAGAGGGAGATGTTGTTGCGCAGCCAGAAATATTCCAGCCCTGCATGCACGCATAGTGACTTGAATTCAGTCAAAAACATGCAACGAAAAAAAGGACGGCATGCAGAAATGGAATGGAATGGAATGGAATGGAATGGAATGGAATGGAATGGAATGGAATGGATGCATGTCAGCACAATCACATACATGTTTGAGCAAAGCATGAGGAAGTTAAAAAGGTGAATGCCTCATGTTGCTTCCAAGATGCAAATCTTCACATTGTTGACGCAGGTCTCGAGGATCTGCAAAGCCGCAGCCCATGGTGGGAACCCGGAGCATGTTGCCCGCATGGCTTGGCAGCCAAGGCACCCCAATGACGTTCTGAGCCTCTGGCAGCTGAAGCACCTGCCATGTCGCCATGTCTTGGCAAGAGTGGTTCTTGGTTCACATGGGTGTGTCTGAAAATGTGACCCCCAAATGGTGGCGTTAATAAGGAAAATGATGATCAATGATAATCCAGTGGATTTAGGGGTACTATTCTCAAACAAAGCCACATCATGTTCACAACATAAGGGGCTCGCCTAGGTCCTAGGTTTGCCCTTTCCTTGCCTTCCTTTTTTCAACCAAGCGTGGTTTATTTTGACTCATCGTGTTCTTGTCTCTCTCGGTTTTCTCGGTTTGACTTTCGATTGTCCCACTCTGATTCTTATTGGGGATAAGCGTGTCAGAAACCTTTCAAAGAGACATACATTGACATACATCATACATCTTGTGAAAGAACAAACACTGGAAGGATTCGAACAGGGCACCTGGGAGTAACTTGCTTCTGTTGCGACCGCTTCCTGCAGAATTTGCGCTCTCACGGTGTCAAAGCGAATGCTCGTAGTCACGATGCTACCTGGGACGCTGGGACGCGGACCCCGTTGCCGGTTGCTCAACGGCACCATGCTGCGCCCACTGTTGAGACATCTCCAAGTCATATGGATAAACATCCGCATGAAGATGGTGGTTAGCTCAATTGCAGCCAGACAATTCTTATGATTTCCTATGGTGCTTTCGACGCGTCGTGATTCTCATTCTGATTCTGTCCTGTCTGGATTGGAAAATTCGAGCACAAGCAGTGCGACTGCAAGATCTGAGTCACTCAGCACTATCACGGAGAGCAAAGTGCAGACCGCAGCCCATGGAACTCCCAAAGACTCTTCCAGTGACAAGCAGGCAGCAGGGTACCTGCCGTGAACTCAGCATCAAAGATGACCAGGAGAAAACGGGATACCCCTAAATCATCCTAAATCCATTGGTTCATCATAAGTTTCCCCATTCAAATAGCCGTACTTGATGGTATATGGTATACCGTATACCCCTTTTCCGACAAACCCAGTTCAAAGATTTTTCAAGTTTCAAGATGGCGAACCCGCAAGTCTCGGTGCAACTTAAGCACAGCGACAGCAGGATCACAGCAAGGGTCGTCCGCTGCTGAATCTCAGCAGCAGCCTGCATTGTAAAAAGTAAGCTGAGTTCGGCCCATTGCCAAGCCTGGCAGGCAACGAGGCTAAGCTTGCGCTACATCGCAAAGGCGAAAAGTCAACCCCCAAATAGATGGAAAAGTAAGATCCTGTTCTATCTTTTTGTGGATGACTGTAGATTATCTGTTTAACTCTACAAAACATCACAACTAAACACAACTGGCCAGGGGGCTGTCCGCCACCAGGATGCCAGTTTCCACCAGTGTCGCATTAGCCGATGCTTAGGGCAAAAGCCATGAACGTTGTCGTGGAATTCATGGCATCTGCTGTGGCTGCATGGAAAGGGAGCTCGCCCTCCACACTCGTCAATGGCATCGTCAAATACGTCGTCCACAGCCTTGCTACCAGCCAGCTCCACCTCCTGCTGACATGCTGTGTGAAACGGTCTTGGAGTTACCATGAAAACAACATCCAAACAAAATTTATGGAGTGTTTGATTTCTTCCTTTATAATATAGATTGTTATAAACAGCAACAGGTCAGTGATTTTCCCAAACAACACAACAACAATTCATGTTTTTTTGAAAAGGTCAGTGATTTCTTTTTCCCCCAAAAAAAAACAAGGGGGGGCCTGAGAACCCAAAAGCAAAACGACAGCAAACAAATTTGAGTAATACTGATAATTGGTTTATTTCTTTTTCGCCTCTTGCCAGCTTCTTTTTAGAAGATGAACATTATGGACGCATTCACTGCAAATTTCATTTTTCCCCACCTGCCAGGTGAGGGCTGTTTGATTTTATCAAAGTTGTTCTCCTCGGCTAGCTGTCCTCCTCGCCCTCGTCCTCCTCCTCCTCCTCGTCCTCCGCCTTCTCCTCCTCCTCTGCCTCCTCCTCCAGTTTCTCCTCGATCATGTCTGCATCAACTTCCTCCTCAACTTCCGCCTTGCCAACTCTTCGCCAAGCTCTTTGCCAACTTCCCAGCTCAGTGCACCGGTGGACCTCAACCTGGGACCAAACCAGCTCAGTGTGCACCGCTGGACCTCAACCTGGGGATCTGCCCAGCTCAGTGTGCATCGCTGGACCTCAACCTGGGACCTTCCCAGCTCAGTGTGCACCGCTGGACCTCAACCTGGGACCTTCCCAGCTCAGTGTGCACTGCTGGACCTCAACGGCCAGATAGAATACCAGAAGATATGCCAGATAGAGTGTTAGAAGATATGTCAGATAGAATGCCATAAGATATGCCAGAACATATAGCAGAAGATATGCCAGGTAGAATGCCAGAAGATATGCCAGATAGAATGCCAGAAGATATGCTAGATAAAATGCCAGAAGATATGCTAGATAGAATGCCAGAAGATTTGCCAGTAACAAAACGTATAAATATCATGGTGGGGATAACTCGAAGTAAAGTAATTTCAGCGCTGCGCGGAAACATTGAGTGACAGTGTGCAATAGCCAAGCAAGCTCATTTGAGCACGGTCATGCGACGGCGGCTGATTTCCAAATCAACCTCTCACCTCTCCTTTCCTTTCCCTTCCTTCCCTTCCTTTTCCGTCCTTTCCCTTCCTTTCCGTTCCTTTCCCTTCCTTTTCCGTCCTTTCCCTTTCTTTCCCTTTCTTTCCCTTCCTTTCCCTTTCTTTCTGTTCCTTTCCCGTCCTTTCCATTCCTTTCCCTTCCTTTCCCTTCCTGTCCCTTCCGTTCCCTTCCTTTCCCTTTCTTTCCCGAATGCGTAGCAAGGGTTCCCGTTGCCCAACCGTCCGCAACCACTCGCAACCGTCCGCGCGATTGCTATATGGCCGTGCCTCTGGTAAGTTCTCCAAAAGGGGTAATTTTTGCGTTTCGCGTGGCAGGCGTGGCACTTCGTGACATTCAGACGTGTTTTGTAACGTGTCGAAAGTCATTGTGTGTGGCAGGCGCAATACTTTTGCGACGTTTTCAGAAGATGCGTTGCAGTTTTCGTGGCAGGCGCAGCACTTTGGACGTGTCCATCGTCATTTTGCGTGGCAGGCGCAGCACTTTAGACGCGTAGTGTTGCGTGTTTTTACGAGGCGCATTGGCAGGGCTGCGTCAAGTGGCGACAAGATTCCGTGGCAGACGTGGCATTTTCTGAGATGTGCTGAAAATTGACGGAAGCCTCCCACGAAACATCGATTTTGAGGTAGCAAATTTAAAGGCTCGTACGAAAACTCGTGGGAAAATTTTGAAGCTACAAAGTGTGAAAATTGGAGGAAGTCTCGCACGAAAGGCTCGTTTTGATGCTCCCACATCTCTCGTCTCAAGTCTCTGGTTTTCCTGTGGCGTCGCCGTGTCTATGGGGGAAGCTGCAAAATCTCTCCTTTTCGAAGGTTTCCAAGCAGGTTGTCATGTCGTTTTGCGTGGCAGGGGTGGCACTTTACACTCTACACTCCCCACTCTACACTCCACACTGCACACTCTACACTCCACCACACCCTACACTTTGCACACTCCTCACTCCACACTTTACACTTTACACTCTACACGCCACACTCCACACTCGACACTTTCCACTCCACACTCTACACTCCACACTTTACACTCCACACGCCACACGCCTCACTCCACAATTTACACTTTACACTCCTCACACCACACTCTACAATTTACACTTTGCACTTTCCACTCCCCCTTCACACTCTACACTTTACACTCTACACTCCACAGTTTACACTTTGGACTCCACACTTTAAACTTTGCACTGCACACTTTACACTCCTACACACTCCACACTCTACACCCCACGCTCCACCACACTCCACACTCTACACCCCACACTCCACCACACTCCACCACACTCCACACTCTACACCCCACACTCCACCACACTCCACACTTTACACTCCACACTCCACAAACTACACTTTCCACTCCACACTCCACACTTTACACTCCACACTCCTCACTCCACAATTTACACTTTACACTCCTCACTCCTCACTCCACACTTTACACTTTGCACTTTGCACTCCTCACTCCACACTTTACACTCCACACTTTACTCTCCACACTCCGCACTCTACACTTTACGCTGTACACTTTACACTCTACACTCCACACTTTACATTTTCGACTCCTCACTCCACACTTTACATTTTACACTCCTCACTCCACTCCACACTCCGCACTCTACACTTTCCACTCCACACTTCACACTCTGCACTTTCCACTCCACACTCTACACTTTACACTCCATACTCTTCACTTTACATTTTTCACTCCACACTTTACATTTTACACTCCTCACTCCACGCTTTACACCCCACACTCCACACTTCCCACTTTACACACCACACTCTACACTTTACACTCCACACTTTACACTCCACACTCCTCACTTTATACTCCACACTCCACACTCTACAGTTTCCACTCCACACTCTACACTTTACACTCCTCACTCCTCACTCCACACTTTATACTTTACACGCCACACTTTACAGTTTGCACTTTACACTCCTCACTCAACACTTTACACTCCACACTTTACACTCCACACTCCACACTCTACACTTTACACTCTACACTTTACACTCTACACTCCACACTCCACACTTTACACTCCACGCTTTCCTCTCCACACTTTGGACTCCACACTTTACACTCCACACTTTACACTCCACACTTTTACGCTCCACACTCCACAGTCTACACTTTACACTCCACACTCTACACTCCACACTCCACACTTTACCCACTGCACACTCCACACTTTACACTCCACACTCCTCACTCCATACTTCCCACTTTACACTCCACACACTACACTTTACACTCCACACTCCACACTTTACACTCCACACGCCGCACTCTACACTTTACACTCTACACTCCACACTCTACACTGTCCACTCCACACTGCAGACTGGTAACAGGGGAAGTATGTATATACAAGACTGTTCAAATAAACTATTGCAGAAAATTGTTCTGAGTGACTGCATATCCATTTCGGGTTCGTGGGCTGCATCTTGTTCTTCTCCCCGCCTATTTCCAGCCACTCCCTTGCACCCACGCCGTCCGCAGCCGTCCGCGCCATTCTCCGCACCCATTTCCCGTCCGCAGCCGTCCGCGCAGCCAAGCTCGCTCATCTCCAGCGGCTTCTTCTCCCCATCCATTTCCAACCACTCCCTTGCACCCACGCCGTCCGCAGCCGTCCGCGCAATTCTCCCCACCCATTTGCCGTCCGCAGCCGTCCGCGCAGCCAAGCTCGCTCATCACCAGCGGCTTCTTCTCCCCACCCATTTCCAGCCACCCCCTTGCACCCACGCCGTCCGCAGCCGTCCACACAGTTCTCCGCACCCATTTGCCGTCCGCAGCCGTCCGCGCAGCCAAGGTCGCTCATCACCAGCGGCTTCTTCTCCCCACCCATTTCCAGCCACTCCGTTGCACCCGCGCCATCCGCAACCGTCCGCGCAATTCTCCGCACCCATTGCCCGTCCGCAGCCGTCCGCGCAGCCAAGCTCGCTCATCACCAGCGGCTTCTCCCCTACCCCCATTTCCAGCCACTCCCTTGCACCCACGCCGTCCGCAGCCGTTCGCGCAATTCTCCGCACCCATTTCCCGTCCGCAGCCGTCCGCGCAGCCAAGCTCGCTCATCACCAGCGCGATCCCCACCCATTTCCCGATTTCCCTTGCACCCACGCCGTCCGCAGCCGTCCGCGCAATTCTCCCCATCCATTTGCCGTCCGCAGCCGTCCGCGCAGCCAAGCTCGCTCATCACCAGCGGCTTCTTCTCTCCACCCATTTCC